TTATCACGGCTTCTATGCTCTTTACAACAGGCAACTCCACAAGATGCTCATAGCTCCTACAGATACAGCCACTGTACAAATAACTCTCAGGGGAGATGCACAATGGCATGGTTCAGCCCAAGATCCAATAAAAACCAGATTGTCCAGAATGTCCTGACATGTATAATAACCAAAATTGTTGAAGAAACAGAAAAACTTATTCAGCAAGATCAGTTATGAGGTTATCTAGCATCCAAATTTCAAGAGAAGAATTGCTGGACAAAAAAGCGTCGCAGTTCACATAAAATACACAGTAGTTCGAAATTTAACCACAAATAGCCAAATTTAAATATAAATAAAAATACTGTAATAGGTACAACTTTAACATTTGAAGGTGCAATATTAGTCGTAACACTTATATCCAATAGTTTGTCTTTCTGAATAAATTTTCATTCCCTGATTTAAATTACCTTTGCCCACGTCAAAGCAGATAACACTTCATTCCCTTAAGAAATAGTATGTAAGTGACTTAACGAAAGCCTGAGCAGAAACCATTCCTTATGATCAAAAAGACTTGCGCCGACATTTGAATTCACTAGCGCTATGGAAGTCGTCTGTGCGGAAGTGAGAAGGATAAAGTCAACAAGAAATGAGGGACAATTCATTCATCGCCAAGAACCTTCGACAACGGATCATTTACAGTTGGCATAACCTAGTGAAAGTCATTCTATTATTTAATCCGTTTCGGTTTTTCTCGAAGAGTTTGAAGAAAATTAAGTATATCTGAGTGGCTGCTACAGCCAAACATCTCCCACTTTTTTCGAGAATAAGTTATAATAACGAATGCTGAATATCGCATACATTTATCTTCTGGGTTAAGATGAAGTGAAACATTCGTCTTTGAGAAAGTTGAAAAATTTGGTAAAATCTCACGGACTGTGACCGCAATTTGAATTTCAGAATGAAAATTTGTTTGTTAAGGCCAACGTTCATGGTCCAATCTGAAAAAGGAATAACCGCATAATATGAAAAAATATCTAGTTATGGTGAATTTATATTTATGTTTTTCGGGTTTCTTTGTGCTTCGTTTTATAGCTTATAATGAAATTGAACATAAGTCAAGCACGTTTATTACAATGCTGTTTTGAGTAAATCTATGGTTGTATATTAATCTCAAGCTCTTAATAATGGCAAACGACCCAGTCGGTTAATGCACATGGGCAAACGTGGGCAAACGTGGGATAAAAGGGTAATTTTGATATGCAAACACGTGGGCAAAAGATGGTGTAAATGCAACCGATTTTACCCACTTTAGTCACATTTCCCACTTTTTCCCCGTTTTCCCATGTCCAGATAAAATTTGTTTGTCCCACCTTTTCCCAGTTTTCCCACGTAACTCACGTCTTCACCCATTTATCCCATGTGCAGGAATTCAAAATATACCCACTTTTTCCCCGTTTGCCCATGTCATTTTAGAAAACAGCCCACTTATTCCCACTTTGCCCATGTTACAAACGAAAAAAGCCCACCTTCTCCCACTTTGCCCACATTTAAACGGAAAACTACCCACGTTTTTACCCACATATCCCAGGTCCACAAAAAAAGTAACCGACTGGGGAATTTCATGCATCTATTCGCCTTGATGAGTTTGAATAAATCAAGAACAACAGTGGTTTGTGCAAAATAATACGGTACCACATTATTGTTATGTCTTACTGTGCTTCGATTATGTGGTCTAGTGCTATGTGAACATCCCATGTGCCTAAAGATATCACTTAACACTGAATTGGTGAGGTATTGGCCGAAGTTTTGATGGTTACTACTGAAACCTCTGAGGCAATGCTTAGTAAAATGTCAGGAGGCACTGAACTAGGGAAAATATCATGTGGTGCTATACTGTGCGCGCACAGTACACCGCGGTGTATAAAATCATTTATTGGTTTATTTAGTTCAGAATTTGCGAGCATAACCTCAGCACTACTTCAAGCCTAGGCAGATTTCTTGAGCATTACATCAGCATTACCGCAAGCTTGGGGAAGCTACGTGTCATCATTCTATCTGATGGACTTGTCGCATGCATTCGGTCGCCCTTGCTACTTATTGGGAGTGAAAACAACGACATTTGCGGCTTAAAAGTGATAATTACTTGAATTACTAATCTACCTTTGTTGCTATAGTACGATTGGGTGAGGTGGTCTGTCTTTAGTCTTTTGTGTGTGTATATGACAAACCGTTCACTTATTATCTAAAAAACTGTTTACAATTTCCCATTACTAATAAAGATCTAGTAAGTTACCTCTCTATCTGTTTGTTGAATTCTCATTAGTCACACTGACAAGTAAATTAAAGGAAACCAACCAGTAGAATGTATGGTTCAAGAGGTAAAACAAAGATCAGCAAACAAAAGGCAGTAAACAGAAAGTTACATATCTTGAGATATCCTTATCATTTCACTAGTTTGAAAAATGAAACATTCCCTTCTCCTCCTTTAACACCTACTTAATTTCCGTTGATTTGCCTATATCAAAATATTTAGAAATGAATATTTGAAAATCCTGGGAGAGGTCATAAGGCGGATCTTATACAATGTGAATACTTTTAGGCAACATGTAGTATAATGACCTATCGTAGTTACAAATCGACAGAAATTTAAAAAAATAGTTCACTTGAAATACAATTTCCGTAGTTACTTGTGGAGCTATTTTCAGCCTTTTGCACCCAAAATATATAAATTTCTAAGCCGCAATAGTAGTTGTCTACTATGTTTCATCCTTGCCAAACTAAAATTTTTCAGTTTCGTGTTCATAACTCTATGTACATTTGTGGAATGCATGAGGAATATTATTGTTTATAGAGACTTTTAGAATAAATGTTTGGGTAGCTAAGCGCGTCATTGTTGTGGGACAAATGTGAAAAACTCAATAACACTTCTTTTTTAAGTAATTCGCCCATTTAGTCGGGTCATTTTAATCCAGTTAGCGAAGAAACTGTGTACCAAGTGCGAAATCATTCTTGTCGAACTGTACTTTATCCTATATCTGAATACTTTGTTTACACTTAAACAATAAGTTGGTATTTACAACGCAACCTCCGCTGGAAGAACACAAAAACAAGCGAAACTTTGATCCTACTACATTATAAACTCTGACACTGACGCAAAAGTCAAAAAACCGAGAGATAAAAGTCACTGATATCAGAGCTATAGTCAGTGTGAAGAAACCCACAAACGTATACTCATTTGTTGATTGTAAATAGCATAAAGCTTTCCCCGAAATATTTAGCTGTAAATCTTCAAACCTGAACTGAGAAGCCTACAATTTATTTCAATTCTTAAAAGAATGGGTGATACATTAAAAGTGGAAACTTTCATTAGCCGATGTCGCGTTTTTTGCCATTGGGTAATGTCTTCTGTCTTCTTTTGCCACTGTTCACATTATAGCCCTGCCGCAGCTTTCCATCTATACTACACTGACGGTGAGTTCTGATATTAAGCTAGTGACCAAATACCTGTTTTATAATATGTGGCGTTCAAATTTTAAGCTGGTTGGTGTTTAGCGAACCAAGTGGACCTTGGAAGCTTAAAACGTGTGTGTCACTGCAAATGAACTATGAAGTGGAAATCTCATCAATACTGTGCCTATACATAATCATGGAATGTGACAGATGAGTGTAAACTTTCATATTAGTTTGTTTATCAGATGTATCACACAGTGAAACAGTATTATTTACTGGATGAACAATAAAGTTACTTACCACAGTGCCCAAGTTTTACACATATATTAATATGAGTGTAAACTTTGCTGAATAAGGCATTTCTAGTATATTTATGAATGTGAAGCAGAATATAATTGGATTAGATATCCTAGAGACAACAGGATTAATTTAAAGAAAAGCCCATACTCCTTAAAAGACAACTGAATTAATTACTACCTTGATGATATGATGAATTGCAACAATTTAGACCATTTCCCAGATACACTAAGTCTCATTTTATTAAAATCTGTCACTTGACCCTCACTTAAAGGTTTCTAGCATTTCATGACCTAAACATATGTCATAACCGTGATTCTTTGCTCATTTTTTTATTACGTTCATCTTAAAGAACTACATTTAGGTTTTTACACTAATTTGTAAAATTCTGGTTCTATGACAGTATTGTTGCATTCACACTACCACATTTAAATATCATTCAAACAGTGAGCTACTTTTTGAAAGTCGGATTCACGACTTCTAGAGTTGCATCAGTGCTAAATTATTATTGAGATACATGGTTGTATGCCAGGCTTCAAGAGTAGATAGACTGAACTCACGTTGAGTAAGTCGTCTAGTGACATCATAAGCCAGGCCCTCGAGTGGAACTCGGGTGGGAAGCGACGAGTTGGGCATCCAAGGGTGACATAGAGAAGATTATTTGAGGAGAGAGAAACTTATAAACGTGCGTGGAGCCAGACGAATAGGACTTTATAGAACAGGTTATGTGCTGTTGAACCGGTATACCCTATCCTATCATTCAGATATCGAAACGCTATTCATAATTTACCTTCAAAATAAAGGCGGCTGCATTTATACATTCTCTTAAGGTCGTTTTACCACTCAATTTACATTGGATGGCGTCCTACATCTAATTTTTTGCACACAAATTTTCGTCACCGCTCATACTGAAAAAATAAAACTTTTTCGCCTAAGCAAACACAAAAAGGAAAATAAATCTTTAAAACCAGGTTGCATCGAAGGTCTCGCTTAAAAATTATCTTCTACAAAACTTTAAATTGGGTCTGTTTTTGAATTTTCGATACTATGCACTATCGGTTTTTAACCAAAGTCTTGTATTTATCTAAGTTACAATCATAATTTAGGTCAAACGAATGTATTTGAGCAGTTATTTTCATCATATTTTCTCTCAGTATCATTGAGCTAAAGTGGTGGTTTTTTTCTTTTCCCTCCCATTAGATAAGTTTTAATTATTAGAAAAAATGTTATTCAGTTTTCTACATTCTCATTGAAAATTCACAATTATCAGAATGTCTCTGCAAAAAGCAGCTGTTGTCGCTCTGTTGTATATGTGTTTTTCCGTTTCTATAATTTTCTCAAACAAACTAGTGCTTACTACTTTCAAGTAAGTATTCATAGTTACTAATATTTTCACAATAGATTTCCCTCATATTTATTGCTTGCTTTGCTTCAAGTCAGTCCCTTGGAAGATAGATTAAAACTTTGCTTTTAGACAGTGTTCACTTTTATACTCATACAGGCTTTATGCTCATCTCGAATTCAATCAGATGATGTGACAAATATCCCTTTAAAGGTACTTCATAATATACTTTCTCAGAGTGCAATTTAATCTAGATCCTACCTTTGTCAATATTTTCTGCAGTAGATATTGTCATGGGTATTGCTGGCACAGGAAGTCTCAGGTAGGTGATCTTGTTGTAGACTTATATTCTTAGTTTACCTTTGTTTACAGCTTTACGAAGGCTCTCAAACCTTTTTATAATGGTTGGAGAATATTTCTTGTTGGGGTAACAGTGTTTTTTATTTTTGATAATTTATTGCGCCAATAGGACTAAAAGAAACTTCCCTATATATTTATCAGTTGTTATTATGGTAGCTGGGGCTGCAGTAGCCGCTATGTAAGTTTCTGTTGCGTATTATCTTCATACTTCAGTGGTGATATCGCCTTCGATCCAGTGGGATATACATATATTCTTGTCAACAATATATCAACAACCGGTAAAGCACTATTGACAAAATCTAGACTTCGAGATTATAATTTCTCAAGTATCGAACTTCTGTACTTCAATTCCTTGTTGATGCTGCCGATTCTTTCTATTTTAGTTTACATGAGATGTGACTACAATGCGGTAAGTACTCTGATTTCTTACTTTATAATCCACGCATTCCGTAAACACTCTAAGGTGAACGTTGAGTTCATCCACTTAAGTAGTCTAATTTTCAACAAATGAATTATGAATGTAAACTCTACTTTCTCAACTTCAGTTTTGATCATTTGGGCAGTGCCTTATACTCCACTAAGTAAAAATAATTTCACATCAAGTGCTGAATGCATCTTACATTTCGAACATCAAGTTTCTCATATTTTTATGGGATATGAAAATCTTTCGCGTAAATGAAACTAGTCAACATACTAAGCTGAACAATAGATAATTCTAGTTGTTAACAGCAGCCTAAATGGGCTAGTCTAAACCTCTGTGATTGTGACACTGCGCTGATTGGATTAACTTCTCAAATAACTTCGGATGAGCACTGGTATGATTTCACTATACAGGTACCTGAAGTCACAACATCTAAATTACATGCTGGGATACAACCTGACACATTCCTTGGGATGATTGGCAGTCGTTTCCTGTCCACAAAAATCTGTAAAACTCACAGTTTAGTACACTGAACTTTACCTGATAATCGAATTTCTCTTCTTTTTTCTCGCGTATACAAAAGCCTTGAAGCTCAACAGTATTATTCTTCTGCTAGGACTCAATCATACAAAGTGAATTATTAAATTTCCAACTTAGTAGTCGATACACAGTATGCCTAGTAATTAACTGACTGACGCGAATCACATAGCTAGAACGCTGGAAAGTAAAACTTGTTATTACAACGGTGAATAGTACGAAAAATAATCTGAACTAACCGAATTCTGAACTGTTTTCTCCCCAGCATATTTATTGTTTATGTAACTGAACTTCTTTGACGGTAATTTGTAGCGTACGTTTTGTTGTCCATGGAAGATAACTTAAAAAATAGAGAATAATAATTTTTTGTAATATTTTGATACTATCTATCAGTGCTGTTCAAATTAAGTTTGGATTTTCAGGTGTTGGCTTACAGGAATTTTTGACTGATTTCAAGTTTTCTAAAATTAGTAAGGTGATCTAGCTATTACTGGTTAGTGAGTAGAATTCAATGTAGATATAATATTATCAGATTCAAGTGTTGGTTCGTAGGGATTTGATTGGTTACAGGATTTCATCATGAGCTGACATTAGTTAGAGAACCATTGGAAAACCTGGGAGTGCTGGACAGCTGTTTCGTTCTAGTTGGCTAGCGGTTGCGCTATGTCGTGAATTGGAAGAAGTTAGAATTCATGAGCCATTGGATCGGGTCCCTGTGGCTTGATGGTATACGAGCTAGCTCACCTTGTAACCGGAAGGTCCTGTGTGCGAACCCCGGTGGGTGCGTACTGATGAAGAGTCACAAACTAGGACGAAACAGCTGTCCAGTACTCCCAGGTTTTCCAGTGGTTCTCTAACCAATGTCAGCTCATGATTAAATCGTGTAATCAAATTATCAGATTCGTTGTCACAGTAGAATTCGGCTGACACATTGATCATTCGAGTAATCAACAGAATAGAATAATAGTCGTATGATCAACAACAGCTTTTTTTTTTAATATATCAAGCAAATAAAGTAACAACTCTTCAACTTTCTTTCACACTAGTTTTCAGTTTTCACTTATAATATAAGTGAGTGAGATTAGTGAAATAAATCGAAGCAACGTCATACTCTTTCAAATAGTATTTACTTTCAAAGCTCTTTACACTGCCAGTTACTGTGAACAGACTTTTTTCGCCAATATGTAACAAAAATGGAATACAAACTATAATTTTGATCTCATAGCATAAATACAGCAAGGTATGCATTAAGTATCTGTTGGAGGATCCGATAACATCGGTGAAAAGAATTACTGATCGATTAATAAAATTCTAAAGTTATTCATTACACTGATATGATAGACTTTGATGTTAGATGACTGAAGGTGATCAGCAGAAAGCTGTAGTGATAAATAGCACACAGGAAAATGTATAGATATAGCATGTTGCTTAGTAATGTTTGTGCATTTTTGTATGGATTGGCCAGCTTCTATTATTACATCCTCAAATGAAACAGCTAAAACATAAACGACTGACGGTCTATAAGTAATATAAATTGCTATACATAAGAAATTTCATTTTCACAGTCGTAATCCTGTGGCTGTTAATGCAAAGCATTCTGGTCTAATTTTAAACTATGAAATGAGTATTTGACCGGCTAAATCAAAAAGAGTAGTTCAGCGTCTTAGTTAAAACCATAAATGTGATTGTGCTTTTTTTCAATATATTTAATTACCAAGTTTGTAGTGATTTAATTTGATCGGTTGGAGGATTTCATCAAGAGCTGACATCATTTGGAGAACCATTGGAAAACCTCGGAGTACTGGACAGCTGCTGGCAGGAATTAGAATTCATGATCCATTGGATCGGGTCCCAGTGGCTCAATGGTCTACTAGCTCGCCTTGTAACCGGAAGGTCCGGTGTGTGTACTGATGAAGAGTCCCGAACTAGGACGAAACAACCGTCCAGTACCCCCAAGTTTTCCATGGTTCTCTAATTGATGTCAACTAATGATGAAATCCTACAACCAATATCTTACTACATAAGGAAGTGATGTCACTTTATTTCATGAGATGCATACCAGAAAAGTCAACTAGCTGTTAACCTTAGCAAACATAACATGTTGTCTAAGTCTATCTTTGCATTTCTCTCATTTAAAAAAAATAATACACACAAGAGGTAGTAGGTAAAATTTGCTTTATTTAGAAGATTATAAATCAGTTATCACATCAATCAAACAACCACGAAATGATGTCAAGAAAAAAACATCTTAACTTATAAAGAGCGTGTGGTAAGAGATCAAGACGTCACTGTGTTTGTAAAGTATTTACTTGGGGTGTTTCATTCAGGAGTGAAAACAGTTTTCATTAACAACACCTATCACCACAAACTGAAAGTAATTGGATAACTTTTGAAGATCAGTGTTCATTATTATTATTATTATATTATTTATGATTTCCTTTAATTCCTAGAGGAACAAAGGGTTTCAGACGCGCGTCTCCATTGCGTTCGGTTCTTTGCCAACTTTTTCACTCCGCTCCAAGTCTGCCCACATGCTTTCATCTCCTCTTCACATGACCTCCTCCAAGTCACCCCACCCTTGGACGACCAACTCGCCACTTCCCTTTCAGGTTCCACTCGAGCGATGGCTTGTCTAGTGATGTCATTCACTTGATGGTTTCCTCAGAGTATGGCCAGCCAATCCATCTCCATTTCTTCCTGCCTATTTGTTTCACAATCGGTTCCTGGTTGGTTCGCTCATTGCCAGAGATCCCTGTTGCTGATCTTTTCTGGCCAGCCATCTGATCTTGAGTATTGAGCAAAGACAACTGTTAATGAAGATCTGTAGTTTGTTTGAAATGCTCTTTATGACGCACTGGCCAAGTCTCTGATCCGTAAAGTAGCACTGACTGACTTCACATTGGAGTTGGAAATCCGGATCTTATTTTTGATGGTGAGTGCTGTTGACCTCCACACAGACTTAAGAGTGATGAAAGCTTGTCTTGCTTTTCCGATTCTTGGTTTGATATCCTCGTCAGTTCCGCCCGCCTGTAGTTGAAACGATGCTTCCCAGGTAGGTAGATAAAGGAGGTTGTTTCTTTCAGGTTCCTCCCAATAATGCTGGCTGATTGTTGTCTATTGTTGTTTCTGCTGTTGGTGATGGCCAGGAATCTTCATCACCTCTGTTTTATCTATGTTCACTTGAAGGAAATCCTATCTGTGATGCTTCTTCTGCCAACTTGTTGCTTTTCACTTGCATATCTTCCAGTTTGTGGGAAATAATACATATATCATCGGCGAAATCCAGATCCTCCAAGTCTTTTGTGTCAGTCGATTTTATGCCTGTTTCCTTATTGTCCGCTGTTTGTCGCATTATCCAATCTACTGCAATCAGGAAAATCATTGGAGATAGTAGGCAGCCTTGTCTTACTCCCGTCTTCACTTTGAAGGATTCCATAAGTTTCCCGTTGTGGATTACCTGGCATGCTGCATTGTTGTACAACTGTTGGATGAGATGTTGGATGTTCATGGTATTCAGTAAATTATGGATATCATTTCTAGACGTAGTTCATATCTCGTATTGAAGAATATCACAGCTGAGTAGCATTTGTCATTTCTGAAGGTGAATAAAATGCAATAAAACGATCCCCACAAGCATAACGTCTGAATATCAATATAACCTTAATAGGTTTGCTGAAATTACAGTCAGAAGTCATGACCAGTGTTGTGAACACTGTCACATGTGAAGATAGTAATGCATAGTGCTGAATAGTGGTTTGATTGGCTCAAAAGTTAGTGAAAATTGCATAATATAGACCATCTGATTCTTTCGCAGTAGTTGATGAATAATTCCAAATGTATTGAAACAACTCTTCGGTCGTTTTCTGTACAATATCACATTTTGTAAAGAAAATGATTCTCCGGCAGTCTGTTTCTCATGGCTAAAAGTAGTATATACTTTAATGCATTTTAAATTTATTCTTATTATGAATAAGACACCTCTTAATAGATCATTACTTTTCGTAGGCTAGTTATCTTCGTTAGTGAAGAAAGGTATTTTCAAAAAGAAGAATAACTCACTTCCTCTTTGGACATTAGATTATCGGATTTCAGATGACTGTAGAGTGCTTCCTCTATTTTTTTACCTTTTAGAATAAGAGAATAACAGCTGCAAATCATGCTTTGATTTATTTTTATTTAAGATGAACGTCAATATGCTGGTAAATATTTACAAATCCTGCTGTCTGAACTTTGGAAGTTCACGCGTTGACTGTTCTGTTAGAAATATTTAAATCCTGGGGAACAAAGAGAACAGACCAGAAAATAAAGTGTCTTATTAAACGCATGTCAATCAGGTGTCTCAAATTTAACAGTCATCAACAGCGAGTCAAGAGAAAAACCTGATACTAGACTTTTATTTCATTGGTTCCCTTTATATATATCTAAAAATGCATAATGCACTGAGGTCTTACTGTTTAGGTAGGATTTAAAATAATCGTTTATTAAATTAAAAACGTGTACGCTTGGGAATTTAAATTAAGAAAGACTTCACTGTATTATTCTGTGTGCATCTATCATATATCCGTATACTCATATTATTATTTTCTTGTAGATTGTTCAATTCGAATACTGGCTAGATCCTGTGTTTTTGTTATATTTCCTATTCTCCTGTTGTTCAGCTGTGGCATTAAATTATTCCCTTGTTCAATGTACCCAGCATACATCTGCACTGACAACTAGTATTTTGGGGGTTATCAAAGTGAGTTATAGATTTAAACTTGAATGACTTTTGAAGTATGCTTAGTTTATTGTGTTAGACAGTAGGAAACCCTAATTGGCTTCATTTGCATAGTTGTCGGTACTAAGCAAAGTATATCTACATTGTTGCAGTAAGTTATGTATTATTTGACTGAGAACATGTGTCACTTAGTACTGAATTTTATAAATTCACCGCTGGACTATGCCTGTCGCGACTGATCTCATGTAGAATTGATTGATGCACATGAACTGGTTGTCGAATAGTCGCTAATATGTAGTTGTCTTGTCCTAAGCTTGCTGGTTGGAGTTCATCGGTCGAGTTTAGAAAGTGGTAACTGAGTTGATCTATGCAACACTGTTGTATACTGTGTCAGATTGTCAACAGCTTCAGGATGATTGATCCTACCGTCTAACATTAACACCTAAGTGATAGAGCATCATGCTAGTTAACTTAGTTAGTGGTTTTTGTTGTGCCATTGTGATGAAATTAGTATTAAGCCTAATTCTTCATAAATTATTACCAATGATATTTTCAGTTTTTTCCCTTCACATTCCCAGTGGAACATAGGGCTTCAAGCTAGTGGCTTGAAGTTTCTGTAGCAGTGTTTATTTTTACAGGATGGGGTTGCTAGCCTCATGCCCAACTTTTCTTCTTTACCAGCATTATTTCTGGCTTAGCGGGGTAAAGGAGGGCGTCGGCCGGGGATCGAATCCCGGACCATGTGCATGGTCGGCGAGCGTCCTAACCGCTGTGCCACTGACGCTTCTTAAAGTGTGATCAAGATAAATGAACTTTATCACACTTCGTACACTCTGAGGGACACAGAGTTACCCGATATTAAGGGACAAAAAGACTTGCTAATTAATGTTAGCCATGACTTCAAAACAAATGCATATTTTAAAGCAGTTGCAGCTAGGGCTTTCTGAATGCTATGGGTGCTTCGAAGGGCTTTCAAGCGATCATATGAGTTTGTCTTCATAGTGCTCTACACAACAATTTATGTTTCATCTAGAAAACTGTACACAAGCGGCCAGTCTATGCTTTAAGAAGGAGGCATGAATATCGGAAAGAGTGCAAAGAGTAGGAAACAAATTGGTCAGTGGTACCTCACACTTCCCTTATGAGGAGAGGGTGAGACGTATATATCTCTCCCCGTTATCCTGCCGAAGAAGTGAATTCAATTTAGCATATCGTATCTTGAGGGATGATTTGGACATTGGCCTTCTTGAGGTTTTCTCTCCTAGGATACCCTTGTGAGCCCAGCACAAAAAGGTGCTCAAACCGCGGACGAACAGAATACATGTAGAATTTATATTCTCGAACAGTGTATAACGACTGGAACTCCTTTCCAGTTAGTAAATTGTTTTTATTGCTTCCTTTCTAAGTATAAACACCACAACTAAGTTAACATTGTAAAGTTCACGTAAAAATTAGCCACACTTATTGGATAAAGATAAATGAGATTTTGAAAGACTGATTACTGAACAAAGAATATTATTTACGATAACCTCTTCATCAGGTTCTACAGTTACATATCCGTAATAATGAAAGATTTAGGCTTATTAACAACATTACTAGTTAAATAACATTGTTGAATCGATACTATCAACAGGTTGCAGTTCAATAGCATCTATAAGTGTGATAATGTGAATCAGCATAACACTACACTAAATATCAGACAAATTAATTACCGAATGCTCCAAACAGCAGAGGCTATTATGATTCGCCTAAAACAACCGGCGTGCAGAAGAAACAGGTCCAACTAGCCACGACCATGGCCCTGGCCATCTGTGGAGCCTATAAATTCATGAATTCTGTATTATCATTAATATTTCTCCTAATTGTCTGTCTGATATTCAGTGTAGTGTTATGCTGATGCACATTATCACACTTATAGATGCTATTGAACTGCAATCTGTTGATAGTATCGATTCAACAATGTTATTTAAATAGTAATGTCGTTAACAACCCTAATTCTTTCATCATTATAGATAGATAACTGTAGAACCTGATGAAGAGCTTATCGAAAAGAATATTCTTTATTCAGTATTTTGAAAATTTAAATAGGCATTTTCGATCAATTACAAATTAGACTGTTCAACTGTCTTATTTGCAGAAAATGCAGTAGAGCACAAAGCTATAGCATACTCATTAAATATTGACTATCTTTGCCTTTGGAATTGACAACAACCGAGTGATAACACAAAATGCCTTCCATCGTAAACTGAATAATGCATATACAAAATATCTATTTTAACAGCAGCGTCTTTTTACAAAGTGTATAAACTTTATTTACATTAGGGAAGTTAGTAAGTTTTCGACTGAATACTCAAGAATGTTTGTATAACCATTGGAAATGTATAGATATGTAATTCGTTTCCGCATTCAAACTATTATTCGAAATCTATTCTTAGACGTTAGTTTTCTTTTTGTCAGAAGGACTTGTTATGTATAATACTAGAAGCAAGCCGAATGAATAGTGAAAATCATCAGTTTGTATCTTAATTTCATGAATGTCATTACACATTATAAGAGTTGGTAGCGGTTGCCATGATATTCAACATGTTATTCAAGTCTTATGCAGATGACAAACAATATCTTAACATAATTGTGCGTCGGTGGCACAGCGGTAGGATACTCGCCAACCATGAATATTGTTCCGGGTTCGATCCCCGCTGGACGCACACCTTTACGTTGCCAAGCCAGTAATAAGACTGGTAAAGAGAGCAGGTTGGGTATGAGGCTACTGAGACTTCAAGCCTCTAGCTTGAAGCCACTTGGTCCACTTGGAACGTAAAGTAAAAACAGTCTTATTATAAAATTAAACAATTACGAATGTAATGTTTCTCTCTGAGACAATTAACTGAACCGCCTTTTCAAGGACTTTCAGAGTGTAAAGACACAAACTTAGTACAATGTCGCAAGATGTGTTTTTTATTTTCTGTGTCGCTTATATTTATTTTGACAGAATATTTTGGTCACCTATGCTGGAATGTTTGTCGGTGGAGATTACATTTATACAACACTTAATTTTGTCGGTCTTACTATAAGGTATGTTTCAATGATACTATGTCTAGTTTTTGTATTTCTTGTATATCCGGCAATTTAATTAAACAAATATAGATTAATCCATTATAATAAAGGTTTTTTTGTATTTTCCAATGAATGAATGAAAAACAAAACGATTTTGTTTTTACTGACGTTTCGCTATTTAATGCTAATAGCTTTAACAAAGTATTATTAAGATATAGATTAACTCGGAAATATGCATTCTGTAAGGTAAAGTCACTGATGTCGAAAGGTTTTTACTAAAAACACCTACTAATTTTTAATTTAATTCTTATATACTACTTAGACTAAAGCCGGGTAGAAAACTAAAAGTTTTGCGCACGCTACTATTTATGAGTTGTTTGAATGTGAATATCGAAAAATAGGTTTAGTTGATAGTGACTAACACTTGAAACTAGGATCAGCTTCCAGTAGTTTCGGGGACTCGTAAATGTAATTGATTGATTTTCATATTCAAACTTAAATCTAGCACTCATGTTTTGAAACCCCTACTATATAGCGTAAAACAAGACATAGATTTTGTCGTAACTCGCGGTAATTGCTAGTTGAGTCACTATGAAACAAAAGTTTACCTGATAAAAACTGTGCTTCGTGATTTGATTGAAATGAATTGAAGCTAATATGTTTGCAAAATGATCATTTCTGTTTGACAGCTGTTGATTAGTGGCATTAAATTATAAACTGCTCTCCAAATTCCATTAGTGAGCTTTCCAACGTTTCATAAAGTAAATGTTCAGTATTCTGCTTACATTCAACATCACACTGCATGTAATTGGATTGTTTAAAGGTTACTGCCTTCAGTAGGAATTCATAAAGTTAATAATTATTTGATCGAATTATACAAGAATATGCAGATACCCTGAATGAGGTCAAAAAGAAGTGCTTTATAATCAAACACTCCTTTACTGTCATTGTATCTACCCCTATATCTATGACTATTATGAACTTAAAAGCCAACACAAGTAATCTTAAAAGTAAAAGCTGAGTATCTGATCTATCCACCGATAAGGAAGAAACCTCATACAAAAAGGGGCAAAGTTCAAGTCAAAGAAACAATCAGTTCGAATACAATTAACCTAGAAGGCGTGAAAACACACAAAAACAACCAATCACGTCCAAGGTCACCGGGAGAGATGATTAATAAGCTCGTGGAGAAATCTAGAAGTTCACTTCATCGAATCGAAGTATGCGCTGAAGATGTCGCCTAGTAGGGCGATGAAAGTTGCATTTTAGTTGCATTTCCCCACGCTGATCACAATTAACGATAGATCTTTCTTATCTTTCAATTTATTTTTTAGTACGATTGGAGCAGTATTATACGTTGTCTACAATTATAAATCTTCACAGATCCAGCAACCGAAATCAGGAATCTTGGTTGGTTAGTTAACATCGCAAATATTAAAGAATATTAGCATGTATTACCTTTAATTGGTTCAGTTTGATTTTATCCCCTTTCCCACTTAACCAAATTTGTTTCCCCCTTTTTTTTAAAAGAAAGACATGATGTTATTACATTGTATAAAAAAAGAGATTTATGTGCATCTGTATTCACTCTATAAATATAACAAGTATATCCTTACCATTTTCTAACTTTTTATCCCTATTCATGAAGACTTGCTTTTTGTTGTTTTATAAGTAATAAAACAAGGCATTATTTATCATTCTAGTTAAATTTGATTCCAAACAGTAAATATGCGATTGTGTCTCACATTGCCTTGCTTCAGTTTCCAAGGTAACAGGACCGTTAAAAAAACATACACTTTACAGTTAACAAAGTATGTAATGTGTCATCATAATAATGTTTCTTAACCAAGGCACATCCACCAACCAGCTATTTTTAAAGTGTATTATCACTATGATTATTCGCATGGCTTCCAAGTGGAAAATAGAGATTCAGCAACACCTCTCCACTGTCTTCTATCATCTGCTGTCATCTCTAGCTCGGCCCACGATTGTCCATGATCTCTCAGTTCCTCCTAGCCAAACGATCTCCATGTCACCCTCCCGCTGACGACCACCTCGTCGTTTCCCATTGCGATTCCACCTGAGCGATGGTCTGCAATGAGCGCGAAGTCATTCGACTATCTCCTCAATATATATACCCTAACCATCTCCATTTTCCTCTACATATTTGTTGACCAATTAGCTCTTGGTCGGTTTGTTCCCATAGTTTCTTGTTTGCAATTCTTTCTGGCCAGCCATCTGGTCTTCACTAAGGAGCCAGTGAAACCAGCTGTTGATAAAAGTCTTCAACAATCTGTTGGAAATGCTTTTCGTGATGCGCTGGCCGGGTTTCTGACCCATACAGAAGAACTGACTGACTTCACATTGCTGTTGAAAGTCCGAAGCCTGTTGTTTATGCTGGTTGAGTGGAGATTTCCAAACTGGTTTGTTTCAGATTGATGAAGGCGTATTTTGCTTTTCAGACTGTAACCAGATTTGATATCTTCACCCATTCCGCCTGTAGTTGAAATAATGCTTCCTAGATAAGTGAAGGAAGTGAAGTGATCTATTTCGAACTTCTCCTGTTGATGGCGATTGCTGCTGGTTGTTGTTGCAGTTGCCATGTGGTTATCTTCATCACCTCCGTCTTCGCTATGTTCACCTGAAGTCCTGTCTTCTATAGCTGCTTCTTCTGGCAGCGTTTTGGCTTTTTGCCAGCAATTCTTTGAGTCTGTGTGACGTTAAGCATAAATCATTTGAGAAATCCAGATCTTCTTATCGGCCCAATGTATTCCTGTCCTCTCATTCCCCAACACAGTGTGCCTCATAATCCAGTCTACCACAATTAGCGATATCATCGGTGACAATAAGTGGGCAGCCTTGCCCTACTCCTGTCTTCTCTAACTTCAAAGGTTTCTCTGAGTTTTCCGTTGTGGATCACTTGACACGTGTCATTGTCATATAGCCAGGTGTTGAGTTGAGTTGATGAAAATTTTGGGCACCATACTGCATAGTGTTGAAATAATAATTTCCAAACTACTTCTCTATCAACTCTGCCGAAGACCTTTTCGTAGTCGATGAAGTTAAGGTATATGTTTGACTGTCATTCTATGCTTTGTTCTATGATGATGATGATGCGTAGAGTTGCAATTTGATCAGCATATGGTTTGACTTTCCTGAATCCAATTTGTTCCGGAGTTCTGCACCCACTGTATCCTTTGCTCTCTTCAGAATAATGCGACTTAGTATTTTATTATTATTCCATGTTAATTCTTGCAGAGGCTTAAGTGGCCCTTCTTTGGCAGCTTGACAAGGTAGACAGCCTCTCTTTCAATCAGTATCGGTAGGCACCTTTCCTTCCTTCCAAACCTTTTGCAATAATAGCGTGAGCGCATCTGCCGCGTTTTCTGTGTCCGTTTTCAGTGCTCTCGAGGGAGGGGAAATTCCGTCCAGTCATAGTGCCTTACCGGCCAGTATACAGTAGCTTGATCGCATTCAGGATTTCCGCTTTAGTTGGGGAAGTGGTATCCACTGGCAGGCAGTTGTGTACGTGCTGTTGGTGGTATTTTTGAGCGAGTTGCAGGTGATGGTCGATTCAAGAATCCTTTAAAGTGATCAACCCATTGATTTATTTGTTTCTGCTCCCTGGTAATCAGGATCCTTTGGACATCTTTTATTGGTTTCGTCATCTTTTCCCGAATAGAGACCTGGTTATCTGATATCATGTCCTGAGGTCTCTTTTACCTGCGGCCTGCCTGTTCTGCTTCAGTTGCCAACCAGTGTGTCGTAGAATTGCCGTTTGTCTTTCCTAGCACTGTTCTTTACTTCTTTATTCAGTGTAGTGTACATTGAACTCAGTTTCCCCTTCTGTTGTCCATCTTCGTATTGAATTATCTTCTTTTTCAACATCCTCCTCTCTTCTCTCAGCTTGCAGGTGTCCGTTGAGAGCCATTTCTTGTTTTGTCCCTTCTCTCTTGATAAAACTGTGGTGCGTGTTTCCTGGAACTCATCTTCAAAGAGTTCCAATGTTCTTTCAAGCAAGTTTTCTCAGTAATTCAAAACAATTAATTCCTTTTATAATTTGGCATAATGTCATTAGACGACGGAGATTATCTGAAAAATGTGATGTATTTTCGCATACATTTCAAACAATCTGATTACACGTTTACTTATCAAGTCAATTTATATGGAAAATAAAAGACAGTTAAAGTACACAAAGTCAAAAAAAGGATTTAAGAATAATTAACACCACGTTTGGTTATCCCACCAGCTAACCACTACCAAGGTAGGGTAAGAGTAATAATGAATTTAAAACAGTTTAAAGCAATAAGAAGACTTAATTTGTCTGAATCGTGTCATGCATTCGCGCGCAAACAGTTCGATCACACACGGACTTGTCATACGAATATATATGAAATTAATATAGTTAAGTGGTGAGAAAATAAATTTAGGTCAAGTTAAAAGGACATATAAATCCTCCGACAAACTTTCAGTGTATGACATATAGATATCTGCTAAAACGAGCCCCAACTTAATTCCCATAGCCACACCGTCAACCTGATGGAAGCAATCGGCTACAAATGTGAACCTAACATTACTAGTACATAGAAGTAATAAATCGCTTAAAAAAGATATAGGGAACGGGATGAAAATGTTATGTTTGGAAATGTAATCCAGAAGTATCACAACACGAAGATCTGTGCAAACGGTGTGTTGACGACAAGGTATACGTGGCTTAGCCATATAGAGATACCAATTTCCTTAACTAATTCTTCATCTTCCACCGTTTTAATATGAGTTTTGATAAAGGGAAATAGCAGGTCATTATTCGCATCAAGTAAGAGATAGGAGGGTATGGTTTACTGCATGAACTTGTGTACAGCCATTCGAAATATGCTATGCTAATTTTCTATGTAGTAAGGTTGTAAAACAGTACAACACTTCAATGTAATCAAAATTTTTAAAAAGATTTTTCATAGGGAAAGAATGAGTGTAATAGGACAGGAATTATATATCTAGACTACTTTTCGTCAACCAAATAGTAAACTGATTCTTATTACTCTGATCGATTGTGGTAATACTGATCAACACCATCAGCAGTGGATAATGTTTATTCAAGGGTTAGTTTGTACAGATTTGTTTGATGTCAAGTCGAATTCCACTGAGAAACAATATTAGTTAGAGAAACACTGGAAACCAAAGAGTACTGGACAGGTGTTTCGTTCTGATTCGAGTCTCCTTAACATTACTCATTCTTGACTGCTGGAGAGTTTCCGAATTGAACGAAGCAGCTGTCTAGTACTCTTGGTTTCTCATGTTCCACCAGGTGTTCTTGGTTCACGATGAAATCTAGTTTGAGGTAATATTTTTATTTAGCATCTCCAGCGAAGAATTTTACAATTATCACTAATGACTGGCTGCAATAATCTGTGCGTTGGTGGCACGGTGGTTAGGATGCTCGCCGACCATGCACATAATCCGGTGTTCAATCCACGGCCGGCGCACTCCTTTACCTCGCTAAGCCAGAAATGATGCTGGTAAAGAGGAAAGGTTGGGCATGAGGCTAGCAACCCCACCCTGTAAAATAAAAACTGCTACAGAAACTTGAAGCTCTAATAATAATTTTTAATAAGTTATTTTACTTTATTCCAAAAACAGTACTTATAATACAGAGTGAAATTCTCAGCATTTGTCACAATATTGCATCTGATTTACTTAAAATAGAAATAAAATTAAAACAAAAGTAACCAGAGGAATTTGTCTACGCTTACGATATAAAGTCAAAAATATTCTATGCACGAATTGAGATCATTAAATATTATTATTATTAATAATAATAGCATTGAGTTTGTTTCAAACAGTATTGTCGATTCAGTTTGAAAATTTTAGCATGTTACTATGGAGTATTGAATCTAATGTTCTGTTGATGTAGTATAGTGAGGGGAAATACAAGATTAACAGTGGTAACACAGCTTAAACGATGATCACACTTATGAAAAATAAATAAAAACAAAAAATGAAGAGGATTATAAATATAAGAAATACAATAACAATAAAGTTTGGTACTGTAAGCGTGGAAGATATGGTTTATCCCTTAGTGCAAAGAAGGTTAGTTAGTTCATGCCTGACATTATTTCCATCACATAAACTACGTGCCAAATATGGTATAGTGGAATTTTTATACTTAGACGTACGTGCGTAAATTCTTCTAAAAAGACTCCTTGTTTTATCTGAGGAGACACAAGGTTGGAGCTGCGGGTAGAGTGGGTGTTCAGAGTCTGACGAAATTCCTTTAGCAAATTTGTTGCATGAAATCAAGTGCCTTTCATTGACAGTGTCAACGATATAGCCCAATGAGATACCACTCGTCCTACTGACAGTCTTCAGAGTTCTACGAAGTATGACATAGTCTTTTTTAAGGAATCCAGGAAAGAATAAGC